CCCCCCAACCCCCCTTTTGTACCAATTCTTCAAGGAATGTTTAAATTTTCCAGTCCTGTTCTTTCTAAATTTGGAGCGTCTGTTTACTCCCAGGATTCGGAAAGAATGTAACAATATCATCAGCAAGAAATCCCTCCCAACCCTCCACTCGCCATCCTCCTCCTCGGCGAGCGGGCTGGCCTCGGCAGCGCTGGCCATGACCCAGGTCCTCTCCAGCCCAGCGGTGCCACAGCCGGGAACAGTTGTATTTGTGCGGTGGCAATGATCTGGAAGGGGCTGAGATTTGGGGGATTTTGGGAGAATCTACCAAAGGCAGGTGACTTCAGAGCGGACAAATTGAAGTAGTAAAAAAGGAAAGGGGATTTCCATTGCAGGAGCTGACTTGGGCTGCCCAGGCATGAGTGGATTCAGCACTGGCTGGAATTATTTTAGAAACAAGGACTCAGGGACAGATGATTTTAATTAAAAAAAAAAAAAAAAAGGACTTTTTTTTTCTGCATAGGGACAGTCCTAAAAGGAGGTTAAACATCAGGGCAGCTGAATGTGACTTTGCTCATCCTTGACTGAAAATACCGTGATGCTTTTGTGTGTCATGTTGGTGAGAAGCCACATGCCAGCATCACATCTCCCTTGCTGCCTGCTCTGCTTGAAACGCATCAGGCTGGGGCTGTTTTAGAGGAAAGGAGAAGATGAATGAAAAAAGCCGAGCTAGGCAGGTGCAAAAGCAGTGCATGGGCAGGGCAGAGGTTTAGTCAGAGTCCCTTTTAGTCAGAGTCTCAGGGGCTGGAGACAACATGTTCATCTGAAAGGCAGCAAAAACACAAATGAATCTGCAAAGCTTGTCATGGTTGATGCAGAAGCTAAAAGCTTAGCAGGATCCAGAACCGGGATTGAGGCATCTTTACAAACCCAGTGTAAGAAAAAAATAAGGAAAGAAAATATCCCAAACACCTGCACTTTGGTTGTAAGTCAGAAGGTCTCTGATGGGAGTGGGGAAGCAGGACCCCACTGCAGCTGGTTATTTGATGGTCAGCTTCCTCATCGCTTGCTCTGGACAGCATCACAGTTTCATCTGATGACTTTGGTATGTGTGTGTCTCCTGGGGACATAGCACATGCAGAGGACTTTGTCCTCTGGCTCCAGCAGATCCTCTGCCCGGCACACAGGCCTGAAGACGCATGTGTAGGTCAAGCATTAGGGCTATTCCAGGTACCCTCAGGCTGCAAGGTCTAAGAGTGCTTACGGACTTACTGGCATGAAGCCATCAGATGTACCCACAGGTTTTTCTTCTAAAGTCTAATTACTGCCTCCAAACCTCCTGCAAAGCACCTCTGTCC